ACTTAAATTAATTTAAAAATCAACTTCACACGATAATTTCAATAGCAACCACGTGCGTACAATTGACAAACTCACATAGGTTATGTTTACTACTTAAGAACAGCTGATGAGAGGGGTGTTATGTAAACAAACATGTGTACCAACTGTTGGTGATGAAATATTTCATTTGTTGAAAACTCAATATACATATATATAATATAATGATACTATATCTTGAAAACAAGAGCTAATATATAATTTTTATGGTCACTTTCGGTTTTAACACGTGGAAATACATTAAAATCATCTAATTTCAACCCCGAAACAAAAACTTTGTTGTGCTGTGAATCTATTTGAATAAATACTCACATATATTCTTGAATAATTTGTCAACAGTCTTTTCATCATTTACAGTATCAGCCAGGAGAAAGGCATTTTCTTCCAGCCCTATGAGCAAAGAAGTAGCGACGCTCATTTGTTCTTTGAAGCTCAGGTCCATCCATGAGGGGTGCTGAAATGAATCCAACAAGTTGCTTCCAGTTTTAGCAACGTTTGTAAGCATCTCCATGACAAATTGTTCACGTTGAACAGTGTCCGCGAACGTCTGTACGAGCTTGTTCATCTTCTCGTTGATCTTCTGGATAATTTTTGTTGTTAGCATCATGTCGCCACCGTACAGCGTCTTACTGCTGGTTACTGAAGACAGCTCATTGGTCAGAGAGACCAAGGGGTCTCGTCCTGCTATGATTCTTTGTTCTAAGCTCGTTAACCACACAGATCTGCACTCGCTCAGATCGGGATTCTGTGGAAACCATACGGGATTGCGGATATCGGCTACTGCTTGGCAGTGCCACTTGGCAAAACCCGTGGTGCCTCCCGGACAAGGTTGGATTGAGGTGGCGTTCACTTTCGTCCAGTTCCAGTATAGACCTCTCACGTTTGTTGGACTGCAGTAGTAGGGGATGCTTTTTACGTTCTTGGAGCCATTCCCCCATGACGGCAGCATACTTGGTACAGATGTATATGACAGGACTCCATCAGCTGAAAAAAAAAGAGAGAATATGAGTGGAAATCTCACTGAAAAACAATTAATCCAAGACATATTTCAACAATATAGTCCAAAGAAAAGTGTTGGGCATCTAATCTATTATTTCACAAGTAACATAATTTAGTCATTACCAAATCCAGAAATTTATCAAGAGATCGATTTATTTTAAAACATTTGGAGCCTATAAGGCAGATTTGGAAACTTACTAAGACTGGATGGGCCTCAAAATATGGAATTCCATAGAGTTAGAATTGGCAGCTTACCGAATATAGGAAGCTATTATCTCTACATACGAAGAATTTTGTTCTACAGTTAGCAAGTGATCAAATAAAATTGTTTTCTGGTGAAATGAAGATCTGGCTATTTATCTTTCTGTTTATTGATTTTTATAATGTTGATATAATTATTCTTTGACTCGACTACTATGAGTTACCCTCAAGTTGTTTTGACAAATGACGGTTTTATTCCCGAAGATTATACTTTCAATGTTGTTAATATAGTTCCCTTGCATAACATATTGAGTTTTAATACACGAATTATAATAATGTATAAATACAGAGTGTCATCCTAAGGTGTGTATATTAGTGCTGAAAGGATGCATGATCACCTTGTCACAGCAATGCAGGGCTCTGCCGTGATCGAACTCCTGTCAGTAGCTACTCGTGGGACTCTTTATGGACCATGAAGTAACCAAAGGATCCGAACCTGAGTCTACAGAGGAGATGTACAACGACCAAATGACCCCAACTGTCCTCCCTGTAACACTGGATCAATAGCGAGAGCTTCTCAGTTCTTCAAGACTTGATCCTCTTAACAAACCTAGGGGGCAAGATGGTGCAGCCAGAAAACGACTTAAGACCCTCGAAAGCAGATTCTCTTGTGAATAAATCTTGCACCAAATTATTGACAGATAGAAGTAGAATCCTCATCGGGAGATGAAACAAACTTCCTCTGAGCAGATCAAAAAACGCCCAAACGATGATTCACTCAAATCAGAAGTGAAAGAATCCTGCATGGCTTAATTTAACGTATCGTCATATAAAGCTAACTGACAGATGCCTTCATCCGGGAAAGTTGCTGCAGTTATTTAGATGGGATTTTTAGACGTTGAACACCCAACCTTAACGTCGATTAGTTAACTGGAAACTTTTCAGCATGTCTTGGAGGCAGGTAGTCGACAGGTACGATTCTAGAGCTGCACATTTCCTCTTGGATGGCTGCAGTACCTTGTAGCTCCTTTTTTCTCGGTCCCGTCACCGAACAGGATATTATGAGCGCGATTGATTGTTTGAAACCTTCAAACCGTTTAGATGCCCAAAATTTGAACGCACATATCATCAGGGAAACCCTAAATATTATAATTTCGCCTTTTACAGGACTGGTTAAACTCATATTTGAGACAGGTGTTTTTCCTGTCGCTTTCAAATATGCGAAAAAAATTTCAGTTTTCAAGAAGAGGGACCCATGTTCCCTGGACAATTACAGGCCCATATCTATCATCTCTATTTTTTCCAAAGTCGTTGAAATAATAATGAAAAAGCGCCTGTATGATTACTTCGAGAGCAACAACTTCTTTTCTCAAGGTCAATATGGGTTTCGCAAAAATCGTTCCACTTCTCTTGCTGTCTTTGATGTTGTTGGATCTATTGTTGAAGTATTCGAGAAGGGAGTGCACACTGCCATAACGCTTTTTGACTTGTCTAAGGCTTGTGATTATGTATCACACAGTATACTTCTTAAAAAATTGTATTATTATGGAGTTAAAGGCGCATCTCTGTCACTCATAGAATTATACCATTCAAATAGGTATCAGGCGGTTTCCTGTAATGGTGTTACATCAAATTTTGAACCTGTTGAGCACGGTATTCCACAAGGTTCAATACTTGGGCCCCTGTTCTTTTTTTATTTATGTTAATGACATATATAATATCATGCCTCCCTATAAGTCCATTTTCTATGCAGATGACACAACTTTAATATATGGCGATCAATCATCATCCAACATTTCACATGTAATGGAAGACGTTGAAAATCAAGCCAACGTAGTTGATAAACTATTCTATTCTATATGACATCAGGAAATCATCTCCTGGCTGGTGAGTGCATACATTTATGTTGCTTATCTGCGTTGGATTTATTTGGTCAAGTTTGAATAGGTGTGAGCCACAATAAACCCTTGCGGTATGCCCTACCCTTTCTATAGTCACAAATTTGGTAGTTATTCTGAATCAACTAGTAAACTAAAGGTGAGTTTTGTGCTCTAAAAAAATACGTTTATAACTGTCACATCAATATTATTTTCCTTCTCGGTCCACGCAAGTAACTATATGAAGGGTCTTATACGATACTGACATCTTCAAGTTGGAAGCTAGAAAGTTTCCGGATAAAATAGAAAAACATTTGAAATTTTTTCTAATCTTTTGTGGATTGTGGGAGCGTAGTTAAATTTTTCGCTGAACCCGGATCGTTCAAAGTCATAACACGAAGTGTTACACTTACAATGGGAAACAATTTTAAACGCGGTTCCGTGTGTTTGTGGAATAGCAAACAATACAACAAAACGAGAGTTAACACGTGTTTGCTACGCTTTCAGGTACTGAAATAGTACGCAATTGGATTTTAGTGCTGCCGCCTGTATTTTTCCAAAGAACATTATGGAAATCATTTTGAAAAATGTATTGACCCGATCCATTCATACTTGCATTGTTCTAGAGGTTTTTACGATTGCATGTGCGTTTAACGTGTTCAGCAGAAATATAAATTCGGATCTCACGCAAATTACACGGACACGGGTTACTATGTTTAGATTATGTTATGACTGGAAACGGCATATTTACATATTACCGCGGAATTTCTCTGAATTTGTGAAGTACAGGTACGACACAAATTAACTCCCTGCGGCTTAATATTTCTGCCTATTTGGATAGGTTCCCCGTTGAGCGGTAGCAGCCTGTATACTTTTCAGCATTTTATAATTAGCTATACATTCATATAAAAATTTCTCGTACATACAGGGGGTACCGAAATCGGAGTAGTTAACAATAAATGTCAGTGATTTAGTACCTAGTCGAATGCTATAACACTTATGTCTGGTTCATTGACAATATTTTAACTTTCACTTATGGTTGTTTTATACAAAGCCTAGGATGAAGTGAAATGATAAAGTTAGGGTATGTGGATTTGCATATTTCTATAGTACAAAACGACAACAAAGTACATTCTGCACAATGAAAAATAGAAAGACAAAAAAAATTAATGAAATAGAATTGGACATTGGCAATAAATGTAACTGAAGTGAAACTTAGAACCTATTTATATTAATCTAATAATAAATTGATGGATGTAGCCGTTACTATGTGGTAGAAAATCATAATGAAGAAAAGTGTCCACACTCTCTAAGATAACGTTTCCTTTTAAACCTACCTAATGTTTTCAGCTATATCCCTGTGATAAGATTTTTCCCATTATCGTTTCTTTCTTTCTTATGGGGAACAAGAACAAGTGTATTTGTTTAGTTGAAGTTGATGGGGGGATGCGACTGTATTTCAAGCGGAAATGTATACTATTGAATTGTGTGCGGAGAGATTGGAAGAATCCAACCTCATACACAAGTCAATAAAAATATTCTCGGACAGTCAAGCGGCGTTGGAAGCTCTTGGCTCCTACCGAGCAACGTCTGAATTGGTAGCAAATTGCCAAAAACGACTCTCCTCGATAGAAAGACTTAACATATTGTCTGTGGTCTGGATTCCTGGCCATTCCGGCCTGGAAGGCAATGAGGTTGCTGACTCCCTAGCAAAGGAGGGTGCTGCAAGCAGCTTCATCGGACCAGAACCTGTTATTGGCATCGCTTTAGGCTTTGCCAAACAAAGGTTGAACACCTGGATGGCAAAAAGATTTATGGACTTCTGGCAGAATCTTCCAGGATTGGCTCACTCCAAGGCATTTATTCATCCTTCGAAGCTTGATACCAAACAGTTGTTGGACTACAGTTGGGATGAACTACGTTGTCTAACAGGCCTTCTTACAGGTCACTGTCATTTGAATTATCGTATGCAGAGAGTCGGACTGTCGGAAGACAGTGTGTGTCAACTCTGTTTGGAAAATGAAACAGCAGAGCACATACTTGTGCCTACCCCGCTGGGGACCGAATCAGGTTTTTAGAGTTCGGCAGAGCCGTAATCTTACCATTTGACCTGAAAGACCACTCACCATACAAACTAATCGGCTTCATTAACTCTTTGAAGCACGAACATTTAGTAACAAAAAAAAACCTACCTGCACGACCTTATAAAAAAAAAGAAAATATGACTTTACATATCTAAACTGTATTGTATGTTGTATGAAGATTGATATCTCAACACACTCAACACATTTAATTTAATTCAATACAAACTAATCAGCTTCGTTAAGAAGCTGGGTTTATTTATCCGAGTGTGAATAGGTGTGAGCCACAATAAACCCTTGCGGGTTGCGTTAGACGGTCGAATAGACCCCCTCACTTTGGACCTAACCTAACCTAATGGGGGGATGTGTCAGTAGTATATCTGAATATATCTGAACGGTCCAAAGGAAAAACGATGATGTTGAATATCAACACATTCTGAGAGAAACTTCCATACCTATGAAAACGCTTAAGGAAGCTACTGTGTATTGAAGCACGTGTGGCGGTTTCGTAAACTGTTCGGTGAAAATCTCACATGAAAGTGTTACTTGAATACGTTATGCATTTTCATCAAGTATCAGCCAATTCCATCACATGCGATAATCGATTTCAATGTTCAAGTTTTGTACCATAAAAAATAGCAAACCCAGATGTCCGATTTTAAAATTTTAATCAGGCGAGTACCTTCTTTTTCCACCTTACGAGAATTTCCTTCTCGGAATACTCATTGCTATTGTTGAACTGTTACAGTGTACAGAATCAAAAATGAACACATTCTCCTTTTGTTTAGTGAGGTCGCACATCGGAGATTAAATTGATTTACAGGACATTTAGTAGCGGTGAAACACCGTTCATGATATATGCGTTCAAAACAACATCGATTGAAAAAGATATAAAATACGAATGCGTTAACAAATAATGAACACAGCTTTAACTGCACCACACGCTTCTTATGAAAATGACAACAAAACTTCGTAAATACTCTTTTAGAAATGTAAGTTCCGAAATAATTCCAAGTATTAGGCTGTTTCAAAAGTTTTGTCCGTTTTTCGTTAAGCGACATTTGGCCAGTTTTTCTCTACGAATTCAAATCTAACCAAAGCGCTGCCGAAACAGCCTGAAAAATTAAGCAAGCATTCAGCAATGACCAAACATTTTCAACACCTCGACACGATTGAATCTTTCTTGAAGATGATCACTTGGTGATAGAAACACGTGTCAAGGTGTGGAAACTAACGGTTTGGTGTTTGGAAAATAAATATAGTTTAAAAAAAGCTAAAAAACACGCTTTTAAAGAACACCGAACTGAAAAGTTACAAATATTTTTTTAAATAAACTTAAAACAATAACGAACGAAAAATACTAGTATTAATTAAATTCATTACAAACTTAGGTAAAAAATCAGGTACTTGAAATTCAGGTACCTCAAAATGTAGAATAAGGTATATATAATATTTAAGGTGTAGAATTAGTTATTAAGACACGCCCGAGGAAGCCATTGTATGGCGAAACACGTGTTGCGTTTTTGTAAAACTATCTAGTGAAAATCACACAATAAAGTGTTTTTAGAATACGTTAAAACTGTTGAAATATAAATTGGGTTATAGCTTTGCCGAAGAAAGGAAGGAAAAAATAGCTGGAATAAAAACTATTCATATACAGCATACACTGAAGCTTCTTTCAGATACAAACTGTAAGAAAAAACCCTGTAGACACAAACTACTTTCACATGAACATTAAATTAAACAAAAAAAATCCTTTCATATGGAAATTGAATTACATGAAAATCACTTTTTTCCATTCAGTATGTACTTCAAATATTCTTTACGGAATTGAAACATATATCATCAGTAGGTGAAACTACATTATGTGATATGTATGGACATAAAATATCACTTGGAGGGAACACTAGCATCCTCAATGGTGTTCTTCAATGTTTCGGAACAAGACACTCGTCTTATCACCTTATCATAACAGTTTTGGATAACCAAAGAGCTTTTTTATATCCAAAAAACTAATTTCTCCTAAAAAAATACACGAACCAATTACAGAAATGTCATAATGGAATCTCAATGTAGATAAGCAAATCTGGAGGCTCTCAAAGAAATCACTGTAGACCCATGCTCTTCACATAGCACAGTCCCACATAGGTTAATATTTTAATAAATTTACCGTTAAATTTCTCATATTATCAAATAGTTAACTATTTGATAATATGAGAAACACATATTAGATTATTTATGGCATATCTAACAACAAACTGCGAGTCACATCAGATCTTTCCAATTCTGAAAACGGAAACAGATTTTCGCCTCCGAAATGTCAAGATAACTATCTGTATTAATTAGTTCTTTTTTGATTGGCAAAATTATCAAATACGACAAGTTACTGGATAAATAAAACATTTTTCTTTGTGAAAAATCATTCAATAGTAGCTTATCGGGGTGAATTAAAAAGTTTTCCCTTTCTGTACCTCTAAAGTTCTCCATTACAATTTTCATATCGTTTTCAGATCCTGGAAGGTTAAAGAAGATACTTCCTTGTCTGATTTCCTTCACAAAAATGACTTTCGTTAAATATGCTTCCATAATCTGAATACCCATTTTACAGAACCTATCGCTTGTTTTGTATTTCATCTAATATCTCATCTGAAAGTTGAATTCCGCCTTCTGTTTTCAAGTAAGGGAATTGCGAGTATTAAAAACAAAAGTGATGTTATATTTATAGGAATAATGAAGAGGATCATTATTATTATCGACACTTACGTGTTATTTTCACGCCATCCGGTTCTTTCGGTTTGGTTGTAGTGTAAGGCAGCGTCGTTATTTCTTCCGGAATGCCTCCGTAGATCTGCTCCCGATCTCCAAACACCTCCTCGTGGGTCTGAACGGGAGGCTGGGGAGGCGGCGTCACAGAAAAGTGATGCGTGGTGGAGGATATCCTAGCTGTCGACGAAGTTGGGCCTGCTGCACGAAGGAAATTACACAATTAGACAGGGTCGGGAAGTATTTCGGGGTTCGGTTCATGAAAATCGGGAGAATTCCTCTTTAGCGTGAAGGGCGGAACAGGGATAAAGTAGGAATACGAAGAAAATAAATACAGAGTGTCCTCCGGAAAGTCATAGCATCGTATGTTTAGCATTATGAGAAAAAGACAGTATCATTTAAATGTTTTCTAAATATTCATTCTTTGTTTCTATAAATTTAATGAAATGTGAACCGGTTGACAAGGAAATAATTATAAACACGGCGCCATTGTTTCTGGTGTAAAAGATTTGATAGAAACCAAGTATAGTTCATTCATTCATATTTTTCAGGTGATCTAGTTAGCCAATCTAACGGACCACATCTGCCTATCTATCGGTTTGAATAACTAACAAATCCAAAGGAGTTTTTAATTAATGTTACGTTTTAGCAAAATGAGGCGCCTCTTCATTATGAGATGCTGGTACGAAGGTCCCTAGATGACAAATATCCTAACTAGTGGATAGGCAGTCATGGTCCTAAAAATAGTCTGCTAGATCACCTGATATGACGCCCTTAGATTTTCGTGGGTATTGGTTACATAAGCATAGTTCATTCAGAGCTCGTGAATACAATGAGAGAGTTTCTGGGTTAAACGAGTTCAACCCAGAAACATAATGTATGAAATGATTCTGTAGATGTGTAGATGAACTTCATTATTTCTGGAGGTGAATGGTGAACATTTATTTTAATAAACTGGTGTGATTAGAGAGCACAAAATCGTTGCCATTAGGTCGTGATCGAAAAAAAAATTGTAGTACCAAACGGCAGACATCTTCAGTGGTATAGACAGATAGATAGATAGATAGATAGATATATTTTCACCATGTTACATATATTATTACTGCTTTTTTTGTTGTCTAAAGATTGTTATTGCACGAGTGGCATTTCCCCATAAAATTATTCCATAGTTTATCTGCGAATGAAACATAGAGAAATATATCATTCTCAGAGTATCAGGTTTAACTGTTTTTTTCAACTGCCTCAAGAGAAACAGAGTACTTGCTAATTTGTTACAGAGCTGTTCTATGTAACTCGACCATGTGAGTTTGTCATCAATAACAATTCCGTATAGCTTGACAGTGTTTCCCATTTGTAAGTTCATATTAGAGGAGAAGGTTATTTTTTGGGATTTGCTTGCGTTCAACTTAAGTTTGTTTGCAGTGAACCAATTTTCAGCAATTTTTTCAATGTTATGAGAAGGAGAAGTGAGTTCCATAAGGTTTTTACCGGTACTCATCAAAGTAGTGTCGTCGACGAATAGAACGCTTTTATTGGGTAATAGGAAGTTGCATAGGTCATTTATATAAATGACAAATAAGAATGGTCCAAGCATTGACCGCTGCGGGACATCATGATTTGTACGTAGAAAGTCAGAGTTTCTTTGATTAACAGTTACATATTGTTTTCTATTTTCTAAATATGAACTGAATAACTTCAATGCCACCCCTCTAATACCGTAATAATTAAGTTTCAAAATGAGTATCTCATGAGAGACACAGGCTTTCGACAAGTCACAGAGTGTAATATCCGTGAGTACATCTTGTTCCAGACCCTCAACTATGCCTTCCAATATATTGAGACTTGCAAGAGTTGTAGAGCGATTTTTTCGAAACCCATACTGTGCATACGCGTATAGCAGCATGTGGAACCAAAAGTTTTTTCAACTACGACCTAATAGCTTGAATTTTATTCTCTCTAATCGTAACTTCGACGGTGAAAGCCTATGTTCTCAACCTGATGTGAGTTTTGAATACACAATGGAGTTATGATATTTATTGTTTTTTGCACATTCCTAAAGTGAAAATGAAACTGCTGACGACTCGGGAACAGTTGAACCGATTCAAAAAAATGAATACATATATACAGATAATTTCAAAAGACCTATCAACGACAACCCTCAGAAGTCGACACTTGTACGAGCTGAGGGTTAATAATGTCTTAACTTTAAAGGTCGTAATGTTCATTTGGTATTATTTAGATTCTAACATTGTAGACAAAACCTGATTTTCACTGTTTAGATTAATCGTGAATAGAAGCACTATATCAGCTGGTCTATAGTGGGGGAGGGGAATATTTACTTTCAGAAAGGCCCGGCTAAACTATTTGAAGCAGGCTTCGCTTTTGCTATGGACGGTCCAGGCGACGGCCCACCCTGTATATCGTCGATAATGGAGAAAACAAGATCACATTTTCGAATCATGAAATGTCAATAAACAGTGATGATATCATGTGTTGCAGCTTGCTCGACTCTCAGCGTATACCCGATAAAATGTTTCCCATGTTCTATTAATCACTTTGTGACACTCGTCACAGGATAATAGATAAAAAATGTCGCGCCGTTAATGTTTTTCGGGCTCGACATTCCGGCTACTTGACGCTATATACCTTCGAAATAGTATGTTGATTCAATATCAATCGTGGAATGTCGAAAAAATAAGTGGGTTTTATCAAAATTCCCAAGCAAATAAAAAACAAAACAAGACACTATCCTTATCACCGGAGGTTATTTTTATGGTTGGATTCTACAGTACCGTCAATAGATCTTTACACATGCGTCAAAAATTTGTGCGTCTGGAATTAGTTGACAAAAGTAACGAAAATGGAATGACAACAACTTAACCTACGGCTTTTGTTTTTGAAATCCTTTAAAAAGTAACCACATTTTACGATTGAGGGTCAGTTTCAGAAAATTTCCACTGACTAATTTTGAATTATGTTTTCAATACAGAAATGAAGATGTATGCAAAATTTCCGATGGTGAAACATTCGGAAAAATTAGGACTGAAGCATAATTTTGGCATAGATATTATTGGTTTTGCAGATTTCTCAAGTGTTAACATGAAATGTTTATGCACATAACACTAGTGATTTGCTTTACCGACTCATTGAAAACTTCAATCCTGATGATATTCGGTTAGGTTAGATCCAAAGTGAGTGGGTCTATTCGACCTTCCACCGCAACTCGCAAGGGTTTATTGTGGCTCACAACTATTTACACTCCACCAAATAAACCCAGCTTCTTAACGAAGCCAATTAGTTTGTATTGTGAGCGGTCTTTCAGGTCAGATGGTAAGAGTACGGCTCTGTCGAACTCTAAAAGCCTGATTCAGTCCTCAGCGGGGCAGGTACAAAGTATGTGCTCTGCTGTGTCATCATTTTCCAAATAGAGGCAACACACACTGTCTTCCGAAAGTCCGAGTCTCTGCATTATGATGATTCTAATGACAGTGACCTGTAAGAAGGCCTGTTAGACATCGTAGTTCATCCCTACTGTAGTCCAACAACTGTTTGGAATCGAGCTTCGAAGGGTGAATAAACGCCTTGAAGTGAGCCAATCCTGGAAGATTCTGCCATAAGTCCGTAAATCTTCTTGCCATTCAGGTGTTCAATCTTTGTTTGGCAAAGCCTAAAGCGATGCCAATGACAGGTTCTGGGCCGATGAAGCTGCTTGCAGCACCCTCCTTTGCAAGGGAGTCAGCAGCCTTATTGCCTTCCAGGCCAGTATGGCCAGGAATCCAGACCAGAGACAATCCTTTACGTCTTTCTATCGAGGAGAGTCGTTTTTGGCAATTTGCCACCAATTAAGACATTGCTCGGTAGGAGCCAAGAGCTTCCAATGCCGCTTGACTGTCCCAGAATATTTTTATTGACTTGTGAGTGAGGTTGGATTCTTCCAATCTCTCCGCACACAATTCAATAGCTTAAATTTCCGCTTGAAATACAGTCGCATAGGTTCCTAGGCAGGTTGATATCTCTGTCCTGGGTCTGCGACTGAAAACACCTGCACCAGAACCGGAAGGTGTTTTTGATCCATCTGTAAACCAACAAGTATCTGTTCTTAATATTTCCTTCTCCCGGAAAATCCAGTCCTCTCTACTTGGGGACAGTACTTTATAAGGCAGTTCGTAGTTGACAGTTTGAGGCATAAAGTCAGATATCATTTACAGAATGCTGTGACTTCCAATGTCAACCAACAGTCTGTTGAACTCTGCATCAAATTGATTTGTGCAATTGGCAATGTGCACAAGTCTATATGTAGTCCATCTAGCCTCTCTCTTCAGAAAAATGTGGAGAGGAGGTAGATCTAGAAGGATCTCCATGGCCGCTGTCGGTGTGGTACTGATTGCACCACTGATGACCACTGACGATGTTTATCAAACACTGGAAAAAAGGAAAGCTAAGTTCACTGCAGAACCCGATCATATTCCAGCATTCATTATAAAAGATGTCGAAATCTCTCATATTTTTGAAAAATGCGATATGAGTGAGATACAAAATTTCAGACAAAGTTCTATTATTAGCAACTTTTGTAAAGTGTCTGAGATGCTTCTTTCATATGAACAATATTTTTAGTACCAATCAACATGGATTCATGAAAGGACGATCAACTGTCAATAAAATCTTATAACAGTAGCGCAGTATGTTTTTGATAGTATTGACCGTTGGTCCCAGACTGTTATGTACACTGACTTTTCTAAAGTATTCGATAGACTAGACAATATCTTGCTTAAAAAGATCTCGGCTTTTGGTTTATCCATTGGTTTAATCAAACTTTTCGTATTTTCGAAATCATTGGCAGTACGAGTATTTCAAACTCGCCTCCCTCAAGTCTGTCGAGTACTTAGCTATCTATGATGTACCGCAAGGGTCAAATCTAGGACCTCTATCATTCAATATTTTCATTAATGACATTATGGCTGAAATTGATGTCGACTTTATCTTGTGCAGGTGATTTAAAACTCTTCCACTATGTAATATGTCGCAAGGATTGCGAACGTTTTGCCTTGAATGAAATAGTGTTGTCATATGGTGCCATAATAATTAATTTCTCAACATTTCCAAATGTAATGTTATGTCTTTGAAAAATAACCTGATACTACACAACTACACCATATGTGTGATATTCGATCCACTTCTTTCTTTCAATAAACATATTAGGAACTTTTATCATAGTTTACCGAATATATGGACTTTTAGTTGGAAATACTCTGGAGTCGCTACTATTATCAGGTTCACGTTGGTCAGTACTTCTAATTTTTATTTGAGATAATTCACAATTTCGTTACCTGCTCTCAACTACTACGAATGCTCTTTTTGTATTCCCAGTATGCCGTTCAAAATACTACTAATAGTACTACTAGTACTAAATACAAGTACCCCACGAACAAATGTCATGGAAATATCCCTTTTTATATAATACTATGTGAGACACCAGCAGTTGTGCTAATCGTGTCTTGGATATATTCAACAGCCGAATGTCACATATCAAAAAACATTACATTCAAACTGACAGTTTGAAAGTTTGTTTTCATATTGTTATCGACTTACATGTGTTTGTATGTGTGTTTTTTATTCCCGATTCTGTAAAATTGTCTAACAATAAACGAATATTTTATATTCCAACTACGAAATCTGGTAATTTAGATATTCCAGTGTGAGGATCATTAGACAGAGCGACTTCAAATTCGAGGTTAAAATTTATAAGTACGATATAAAATTTACTTACTGTGAAATATGAAATGTTCATAGTTTATTAGTTGTCAAAAAAATGATTTGTGTAGTATAAAATATATGAAACCGTAGAAACTTTCCAAAAAAATACATTGAACTGTTTTGTTCTAGTTTTCCATGTAGAAAAAAGGACGCTAAATAATATGTGTTTCATCGCGTATTTTATAGACATTCTTTGTAATGTAGCATTTGCGCAGAAGTGAATTATACACTGGGGTTTATAGTACCTGTTCCAGTAGTATTCAATTAGTATTATATGCGTGAAGCTATTAAATATTTTGCGGCAGCTTATAGCCGCTATGTGTATTCAGATGCAAATATTGGTACCACCAGAGGAAATGCATTGCTTCTGGACGACGGTCCTCTTTGTTGTGACGAAACGCTGTTACATGAATAACTATTCATTAGCGAGTGAATGTTTACATATTTCATGGGAACATACCCATGGATCAAAAATGTTTTACATATATAATCAATACTTTCAAATAAAGGCAGTGAATGTTGTCATTCGATCAACATTTTTATACAATTGGCGTTTTTCTCGATATCACACTATGTACTGAATGTCCACCGTTAATCGAATATAATTTACAGAGTATATATCATGATGGTAGCCCTGTGTGAAAAATAAATGAATGTTTATGACAGTATAACAAAATCCCACGCTGTTCACCACGAAAAATTTCTTTTTTACAAATGGATGAAGAATATTATTAATAAAAAACAAAAGCTCACGCTAGCATTTATCATAAGTTATAGTCTTAATTCTCAGGATTGAAATTATGCTGTATAAATTGACCAATCACAAATTCCTCAAGACAACAACTGTGACTAAAATTGAGACAGAGACTTGAAACTAGGACTATGAAGTCTACATTGGCTCTTGGATCGATAAGATTTAGTGACATTTCGATAAATTGTTCTTACGTTGCACTGGGGGAGGTGCAGGAGCTGCCGAAGGTTTGGGAGGTGGGGCCAGATGTGGCGGTCTAGCGGAAGGTGGCTTTATGGTGCTCCACATTGGTGGCTGCGATGTTATCAACCATGGTGGACTTGGCCTGCTCGTTGTTGTAGTTGTTGTAGCTGTGAAAGAAAATTATGTATAAGCAAACACTGTACACATAGAGCTTCTACGTTTGGGAAAGGACTAGGAATTAAAATAAGGACTGTAACTTGGCCTAATGGACACAATGAGGTATGACGTGAGCTTCTCAGAATTGAATACTTTTTATAATACCTGCATTTTCAACTATCAATGAGTTATAAGGTGAAACTCCATTTTCATTATTAAATGAAATGTGTCGGGTTTCAACCATTAACGTCTCTTTTAGTCCTGCAGAAAAGTTGGTTATTAAGACACGATTATTATCTTCAGCTGAACTATCGATTTCAGAGTTAAATTTGTGTATGTCTTTGTGTATGTTAGATTAGTTTACGTCGAATTCATTCAATATTATTGTAGGTTACCTTAAATTACTCACATTGTCAGTTGTCATATCACAATAATTCAGACCGATATATGCTTCATTTAGTGAGTTTTTGATCAGATATGGTAGGTTTGACACTTCTGTTTTGAGACTAATCAACTTATACTGAGAGTTGGGTATTTTAAAAGCCGGCATTCTTGAATTTCAAATAGCTTGTTATTGCAGCAACAGATATCCTCTTCAAGAGGAAGATTTTTCTCTTGAAGATGATCACGGTCTGTAGCTGCCGAGCTGTTGTGCTAACAACAATTATATTTCGTAGACCTGATTTTCATAGGTGTTATATATGCTTACTTATGGAACATTCTCTGATAATTCGTGTAAAGGTAACATTTCATTTTCAGCGTCTACATTGATTCAAGAACACATTTTCAGAGTGGAATTTCTAAATAAAGAAATCTAAAGTGTGCCTCGGTGGGCTTAACTAACTAGAGGTTCGTATTTCAAAATCCATTAGAACATTTTTCGATGTTCTTAGAAACCTTATATACTTATGAGTTAATTCTCTTCTCCATTAGGATCCATCATGAACAAGCTTTTAGCTCTTATATTAAAAGTTTTCAATGCATTGGCAACCTCTAATAAGTAGCATCTTCTTAATAATTTCGTATTTTTACTCAATTGGTCGTTGGCATATTATTATCCGATATAAAAATTTAGTGATTATTTTGCGATAATATAAGAACTTGTTTCTCGTTTGTAACGTATCTATTTCACTAAAAAGTCAGGCACTTACTAAATGAATAAATAATGATAATCAGTAAAAATTAACTCACTTCGAGTGTACGTATAGGAATAGAGAATA